GCACATTTGAAAGGGTTCTTGTGTGTGTAGGGGGGCTCTACATGGGCATTTTTCCTGGTGCTCTTCTTATATTGTGTGCCTTTATCAGAGAATGCATGACCCTCTCATGCATTCATGTCTGTGTGTTTTAGTATCCATTACATCATCCCTTACAGCTAGGTCCAGGTCTTGTTTATCTTCCTGTAGTTCCATGTACATAGTAGGCACCCCATGAATGTTAAGTTGGAAAACAAATTTGCAAAAATAATGCTTTTTAATGAATAAAGCTGCTAGTAATTTTTTTGTCTGTACAAGATATTACCAAGATTCCTTACTTTCATTCTAAGAAAGTTTCAAAAAAAAAATCAAGTTTTGACATTTTTTTATAGGAAATGCTAGAAAAGAGGCAATGCAAGAGGAAATTAACAAAAACTAAAATGGACATTTGAAATCAAGATGCTTGATATCCATTTCCTTCTTTCTCACTTGACATTTCAATTATGTTTAAATCATGCTGGAACACAGACCATCAAGATCAATTACTTTCTGCAGGTAGTACAGGGATAAATAACAGGGCTTTGCCATCCTTCAGCTTAAGCTGGAAATTTCTGGAGCAGCAGGAGAAAACATTTATGATCATTGCACAGAATGATAGACCCCAGGGATTAGAGACTTCATCAGGGTTACTAAAATTCCTACTTTTCTGGTGATTTTCTCCCATATTTGGTCATTTTGATGTGTATTCTATGAGAAACTTTCCCCAAATCTCTGCAAATACTTTGTGGTTATATAATTGGAAGTCATGCAACATAGTTTTCCTTTTTCATCTCTAGTGATGTTCCATTTATGCTTTTGCCTCAGCTCATCAAAAAATGTAAGGGCTCTTATCAAGCTCCCTTTAAATAGGAAAGCCTAATTTGTATTTGAATATAATTTGTATTTGAATATATTGTATATTCTTTTGCCATGAGGAAGCCATTGCTCATTTATTTTTCAAAGAATCTAAAACAAATTCCACTGGAACATAAGAATGTGAACAGTCTCTTGGTGTTTGCCAAATTTCCCAAAAATTATAAACCGACTACTAAAATTCTTGAAGGCTTTCTGCTACCAGCTGGTTCTCCTTCTTATCCTAGGATGTCTAGAAATGGTAAATCCAGATGTCTGTTTTGAGGACAAAGATGCTAAAATAAACATACATTGGTGATAAAATTTTGATGAACAAGAAGCATCATCTCAGAACATATATGCATTCAGGTGTCTTTTTCAAACTAATATTTTTTTCATTTCAAAAATACTTTCTCCCTGAATGATAAATGAAGGACTGACCCACACTTAGCAGTCTGAGACTGGAGGCTGACAATGATCAGGCAAAGGAGTCTCTGATTTCAACATCAGGAGACGGCAGCCTGAAAAGTGTTCTTAACTTTGGGCAATGAATGCTATTTGTCTTACCCAATCAAACACAACCCAAAGTGGGATCTTGGTGTTTAACATCTTATGCAATTCTAACACTAATTGGGTAGCATAAATATTTTTGCATTTATAGCATTTAGTCATTTGTGATTAAGAAATACAATTTGATAATATTTCTGAAGCAATTAAATCAGTTAGGGAAAGAGATTACTGATTCATTCTAAACCATGACAGATGAGAAACAGGTTTTCTTTCAGGTAGTATATGTTGCAGAGAAATGGAGAAAAAGACAAAAATAAGAATTTGATTGCAGTTGTCTCTTGGTTTATACAAACTCATCTGCATTGTGATAGATAAGATCTGTCTTTTTCTACCTCAGGTAATCTCTACAAAAGCTAATCAGATTTGCCAATTATAATTTGCTTCCAAATTGATTCTCTTTTCAAATTCATGTTCTTGGAAAGGAATTTAAAGAAAACAGAACACAAAAGTTAAAACATAGGGTGTGAAAATTTTACTCCAAGAATATAAATGAAAAAGTATATAGCTGAATATACACATTTACACTCCTTTGACCTGTCTTGTTTAAAAACCTATAAATTAACAATTTTTAAAATCATAATTATATCACCAAAGTAACTGAAAAGATACTGATTCAATCCTGAAATAGTTTTCATAAATAGGATGTGTGTGTTTCCTATATCTAATTTTATATGTACAATGACATATTTGTTTATATGTGCAGTTATATTTTTATATTTATAGTGAAATATGTCCAAATATGTTGAACTTTTTCAGAAATCAAAGAAATCCTTCCTGGTGTATATAGTCTAGGTGAACCAGGTCTTCTTTTTAGCAAAAAAGAAAGCACACTACTGCAAAATAATGTTCTTTGGAAATGATTTTTAAAATTGGCTGCACATATGTGGCTAGACAATTTCCTTTCAAGCTAAATAAACATGATTAATTCTGGCAGTTATTCAGATGGCAAAGGAACATTCTGACTTAATTTATCATGATAAATTTGTCACTGCTTTCCTGGAGAAGGAATACATTTTTATCTTTTCTCTCTCTCTCTCTCTCTCTCTCTCTCATATCTATATATAGAGAATCTGTATATAGAATATGTGAATAGACAGACATGTGCATGCACACACACACAGCTTCAGGCTTCTACTTTCTTAAGCATTGTAAATATTAAGGTTTGAATTTAAAGTTTCAAAATATAAAAATATAAAATTATATTTCTTATCTCTGTACTAGTTTATGTAGATACTTCATATTCTTTGATAATTAGCCATAGCCATGTTCATATGTTTATGAAGATTCCACATCATGGGATTGTGGTTTCACATATTTCAACCATAAAATAATTAGAGGTAGGACTGCCAAGTTAAAAGGGCATGGTGTTAGGAGTATTGATTTTGGGAATGGGGAAGATGGCCTCTATGGGGAAGGGATCCCCATGACATAGGGATCTTCAATTTGGACACTGGTTGCAACCAGGAATACATTGGTTTTATCTTTATTGGGATAGAATAATAAAAAAATAAAAAATTATAATTCAAAGAGGAAGCTGGGCATACCTTTACTGCTTTTAAATATTTAAAACACAGCTTCATTGAAATACTTTATGAGAAATACTGAAGCACATATCTCAAAACACATTTCAGTGATTTTCTATAATATCCTAGAAAGAATCCTAGTCTAGGATTAAGGTATGTTGTGGTCTTAGAAAACCATTTAACTTCTCTGAATATCTGTCTACTATGTTAAACTATCTAGTATACCTCCCAAACAATAAGATGTATCAAATTTCTCCCATATTAAAACAGGAACAGGAAGGGCAAATTTATGGGAGACTTGAACATTTTCAAGACACACAACCCAAGATAATAATAAATAATAGACGCTAAGTTCCAGCTTTCATTATGTATAGACCTAGGAAGCCTGAAATGTGGAGGTAAACGGCTTATTTTTTTCTTTAACATTTTAAAAGGAAACTTGCATTCTGAATGCAAATCTGTATCTATTTTGTAAGAATACAATAAAATAATCTGCAAACATTAGGAAGCACAAAATAAGCCAAAGCTAAAAACTATAAAATTCTTGTTTATTTCTGGAAAAAGACATATTGTTAATTTTAAAAATTGAGGAATATGGATAATTTTTTAATTAAAAAAAGGCAGAGGTTCTCTTGGTATCAACTCTTTAGGCCTAAAACCATTGTCCGGCTAGAAGCCCCATGCCTTTCATTATTCCTTAATTCAGATATTTAGGTTTCTGTACTAATGAGGTAAATCTGCTCTATGGCTCACCTGGAGGGCTGAGCAGCTGGCAAGACAGAGATAGGAAGGAAAGAGGAGGAGTGGTGTTGAGCTAGAAGGTGAAGTCTCTTTACTTTAAGGAAGGCTGGATAGGAGAGGCAGAGGAGGGAGTGTCCTGTGAAGTAGGTCAGCTCATCTGTCATTTTTTGGTAACTATATGCTCACCCATTTACTAGATTGACAATAACTTCTTAAGGGTGGCAGTTTCGTTATTTTCATTTTTTATCTCAGCATATGACATAGTGCAGGACACTTGCTGGACATTTATAAAAAGCATGAATAAAAGATCCCCAGCTCCTAATTTTGTGTGGTTATGAAAAGTGATTGGATTAAGTTCTTTAAAAATGAATGACTTTCTTGTGTTCTTTAAACTCCTGCATACTTTGACATGAGTTACTTTGATCTGTATATCTGCAAGAATGCTTGAACCCCAATAGTCATTGAGTTAGGAACTCAGATTGGAGGGGGCCTGTGAAGGAGTCTTTCAGGGTTGAGGGCTTTGGACTGGTGAAAGCAGCATTAGACAGCAGATGAACCAAGGTAAGTACATGGGGAGGTGACTCAAGAGGATTTCACAAAAGACCAGAGAAGCTACCATTTTTCCCCCCCTAACTTTCCAAGCCAGTCTATCAGGACCTAAGAGCATTATCCATCAAATGCTTTTTAACTGTATTTATTGTAGTATTGGGGATTGAATCTAGGTGCTTTCTACCACTGAGCTATCCTTTATTTTGAGACAGGATCTTGCTAAATTGCCCAGGCTGGCCTTGAACTTACGATCCTCCTGTCTCAGTCTCCGGAGTAGCTACCATGATGGGCTTCACCAAATGTTTTGTACAGCAGCTTGGTAATGCTGGTGTTTGGAAGCCAAGCTGCACATCCAGGGTTTACTTGGTTACTAACCTGCACTATTTGGTCCAGATTAACTGTGCTTCATGTATTGTAACCCCATTCTTGCTTTTCCTTATTTGGAGGAGAAATTAAGGGAAGAGAAAAGATGACCACATCTACAATCTCCTTTCTTCCCCTCACTCTCTTATCAGTGTAGTCTGGTACAGAATCCATGAAATTTATCATTTCACGGGACATTTAGGGTCTGTTCCTCTGATTTTCCCCACCACTCTCCCTCCATATGTATCACTTAGACAATTTGTCCATAGCTGATTCTGATGTGAAGTGTTGGTTGAGCTGCTGGAACACTCGTCTCACATCCTCTTTTCCAAGCATCAAATACGAGCTTTGCCCTTGGGTCTACTATAGGCTGCAGGGGTTACCTACCCGCCTTCTTCTGAATATTTATGCCCAAATGCCAGGATGTCAGATGCCCGTCCACTGCCATCACAGACCACCACAGGCACAGGAGGCGTGTCTCGGAGGTACTCCAAAACGATGGAGATCACATTGGGCCCTCCTTCCACAATGAGTGCCACCACCGGAACCCCTTGTCCGATTCCTGCATTAAAAAAGGAAAAGAAAAGGGAAAAAAGAGAAAAGAACACAAAGCCAGCAAACCAAAGAAACAAAAAGAGAAACAAAAAGCAAAAACTAAAATTACTGAGCACAGGGGAGGTGACAACATATGAAGGGATAAAATATTGAATGAAAATTTACAGAAAACTCATTAGCAGAATCCCACCCCCAGGGCATCCATCTGACTTTGCCCTCTCCCCACAGCTGTCCGGATGCACAAGTCAGCTAAGGCACCAATTACCCTACTTTGCAGCGGGGAGCCTACGGTGAGGGGAGAGAAAGGAACCGGTTAACAGAAAAAGCACTGGGCCAGCAGCCAAAAGATTGGAAGCTAAATGTAATCCTAAGCAAGTCTCTTATCTATCCAGTAGTTCCATTTCCTATATAAAAAAAATGGCAAGTTAAAAATTGCCACCCTCCTGAAGTTATGAGAGCGATAAGAAAATGTTAACTATTTCTCTTTATTAAAGACTTTGAATATCTGCAGAGCGGTGGTTGAATCAACTGCTGGCTAAATTGCAGGTCTAGCATCCTGACCACAGGCGATCAGCTTGATTACTGGTGCTCAGCAGCACGGTGGTCCTAACTGATTCCCCAGGAGACACAGCACCTGCCACAGTCAAATTCTTCTCTACTGAGCAAGGCGCCAGGCACGTGATCAGTACACATTTGGTGAACTGAGTTGAATTAAGGGGTTTCACAGATCTTTCTGAAAATCTTTAAGCTATTTATTCCAAGCCATGGCACATTGCTATTTTTAGGTAAAAATATTCTTGTATCAGTGCTGCATGTGTAGTTCAAGCTAAAGTATTGAACTGAAGTATTAAAAATGAATGTCTGATGGGACTAGGGTTGTGGCTCAGTGGTTGAGCACTTGCCTAGCATGTGTAAGGCACTGGGTTCCGTTCTCAGCACCACATATAAATGTATGAATAAAATAAAGGTCCAACGAGGTCTAAAAAAAAAATGAATGTCTGACATACATGTATGATATTTCAAAAAACACTCTATTGCCATGTATATCTAAAAAGAACAAATTTTTAAAATGAGACACAATGAGACATTAAATTCATTTTCAAGTGACATTTCAAGTATCATCAGCGTTCACTGATAACTCCCTTTTGTTCAGTTTGGATTTACACTGTATTTTTCTCTCCCTATGTCCTCAGAATAATTAGGAAGTTGAGAAGTAACAGAAAAATTAGAAGGTCATCTTAAAAGTTCTCTTAAAAAGATAAAATTGAAATCTTGCCATTTCTGTAAATATGAACTTAAAAAAAATCAAACCTTTGGTCACCTGGTTCTTCCTTAGTCCCTTTTGCTGTGGTTTTATCTTATATCAAAAAAACTGCTTCCCAGTGGCAAATAATAGTTTGGGATTCTGTTTCTTGCTCTAGAGATCTTATTTGACTTATGTGACCTGTTTTACTTTTAACATCTGAGTACTTCAGTCTTGCAGGGCTTTATCTACTCTAAGTTAGAAAATATTTTTTTTTTGTATTTGAGTTTCATTTTAAGGGAATTTTCCAAATGCCAGATACACCAAAGTGGGTGCTGTTCAAATCTACATTTTAAAAATATAAAGAAAAGGATGCCTGTTGATTAAGCCAAGATTTCTTCTTGTTCTCCAGAAGGAACCTGGGGAGAGAAGTGACCTGGGGTCCTGTGAGTCTTCGTGGATGGTGAGGTTTTGAGAATTATTCCTTCCAATCCCAGTCAGGGAGTGAAAGGTCTTGCTGCTCTGTCTTGACCCAGGATCCCTTACTGTCTTGGACACTAGGTTTCTCTCAAGCTCTGGGTATATATGAAGGGGATACTTTTGCATGGCTGCTGACCATGACCACTAAGTAAATGGAAGTTGCTCTGAAGACGAAAAGCCAAGTTGAAATGTGAGTAGAGCACACCTCTTCTAGGAGAGAACTTGGTGTCCTAAAAAATATCCACCCATATAGGGACTTGTATTTCTTTTCATATACTTTGGAAGAGAAGGCATCTTTTCCAGTGTGAAATTCTGATATGAGGTATTTCTCAAAATACTATATATACTACTTTATTTCTCCCTTTGCTTTGCTTGAACACAGGCTCCTATGCCTTTTATCAAGGAATAATATGCTATTTTCCTGTTTGATATAAAACGGATATATCTACATTCATTTTAGGATCTCCTCCAAAAATTTGCCCAATTCTGACTCTTGAGCATGAATTTAGTGGGACTTTAACTCTCAGACCAAGTATAATCCACTCTGTATTCTCCAGGAGGAAGAAGTCCTAGAATGAACTTTCTAGAATGTTCCAGTTAGGGTCTACAGGACAGCAAGCAAGATGGCTGGAAAAGTCCTCTCTTTGAGAGGGTTCATCCATGCAAAAGATCGACTTTTTTTTTTTTTTTAAAGGCTAATTTGTATGACAGTAATAAACTGCCAATTTATCTCCTGCCAATATATTTGTCAATGTTGGAAAATGTTATAACCTCTAGAAACATAGAATCATTTTCAGGTTAGGGTTTTCTGTATTGGAATGAGACTGATTATAAAATAGAATAATTAAAGCAAGTATATTAATACAAAGCTCAAAATTAAATAGTAAAAATTGGAGCATAGTATCCCTTTTCTCATAAATTATATGTCTATAACTCCAAATTCCTTCCTATTTCCTTCAGTGAGAAAACATTGAAAAATTTATTCCATAGACAATAAAAGCTATTTTAGCCTAAAATAAAAGCATTTTTAAATTTCTTGGGAGAGGTAGAGAATCAGATTAGGTCTAAAAATACCACACTTGTTATAAATTAAACTTGCTAATGCATGGTAACACTTTTTTGTCACATCTCTCTTACTCAGCCTTTGTTTCCAGGGTAAAGAAAGTGATACCTAGTGTTTAGCAATGACCTAAAGCAATGGTTCTTAACCTAATTTGTGGAGGCAAGGATCTTGGCACTCTTCTGTGAATCTCAGGAGACCTAGCAACGCTTTCTTTAGAAAAGGGAACATATGGATGGATACAAAAATGCCTCCATGCAATTTAAGGGGGTTCACAGATCCTTGAAGCCTATCTGAATATCTTGATAATGGACCTCAAAAATCCCCACCCTAAATTATAATATTTTGATGCATCTGTAAAAACTATCAATTTGTTTTTTGTACAGCTCATGGAGTCAAGTTCTAGGATGGGTTTTCAAAGAAAATTCTATGTCCAGGGGAACTATGTCAGGTCACTGCTACCAGTTATATTGATAGTGCTTCACCTGGAAGGTTTAGCCAATCAGGATGTGTCTCCTCCCTCCCTCTTTTCCTTGTTTTTCTTTGATTTTTCTGTTCAAACTGTCTTTGCTAAATTATATTTTGGACATAGGATATTCTAAAAATCTCTAGGAAAAATTCACAAATTTACAAGTTAGAATCTGTGGGATGTGAATTTTTAGTAAGCAAAAGCTTTGTAAAATACCAAGAACAATATATTTTTATTGGCACAAAGAAAACATTTTGAGAATCCCCTGCATATGTAGCAGGACTAATATAGCTCACTGCCATTTTCTTTATGCTGTTAAAAAAATTAATATAATTTCCTTTTGACAAGATCCTCACAAATTCTATCTTGCTCAGCTAAACTTACAGATGAATTCAACTCCCACACCTGAAAAAATGTGATTTAGATTGACATTTTTAAAAATATGTATTATTCAGGAAAAAAGTTGATCCCTAAGGGAGTGTGTGTGTGTGTGTAAATTCTTGTTTATTTTTTTTCGGGGGGGGTGATTTTGGGGAAAAGTAGATTAGTTCCTTACTTGATTGCAGTCATTTTTCATCTTCTTCTATAACCAAAGTCTTGCAGAAGTTCTTAGAAATTCTATTAGAATTTAATTTTAGAACAATCTTTAAGTTGCTTTAAGCAAAAAGAGGCAAGAGGCCTGCCATGCTCTTCAGCTTTTACAATTTTGGACCTGGAAACATCATAGCACACAAAAAACGTGAGTTTGGATAATGGATTCAGCAGCTGCATTCTACAGGATTCCAGGTTGACCTAAGGCTTTCTAATTACACATGGAGCCCTAGTTCTTTGTGTAAGATAACCTCTTAGACTTTGGTCACACTTCATTCTGACTGCTATGTAATTCATCCAGCACTCCCAATAAAGTGAAAAGTTTCTATGTTGGATTAAACAAAGACTGGGTTGGGCATTGTGAGGGAGATAGGTGGCAGGAGCAGAAGAATGTCTTACATTCCAAACAGCTTTGTTTTTTAAAGAATTTCTCTCTCTTCTGACATGAAATCATAATCTATGATCAGTTCAGGCATTTGTGAAAACATTGGGTATGTTGCAGTAAAATGCCTCAATAGCTGAGAATTTTATTCAAACCAGTGCTTTGGTTTTATGTGAAGATCACCATATATGATCTAAAGTGCTTATAGGGATCATTTATCTGTGGTTGGAAAATGGTTCCTATTTTACAGGAGATGCAGCATAGGAAATTATTTTTAAGTCTTAATGCCCACAGGCCACAGATCATGATTATTATAGTACAGGTCATTCAGAAAGGGTGGTTCCCACTTTGTGTGAGATGACTTCCTGAAGACCTTGCCTAACTCAGGACTGTGTCGATGGTGGGAAGCTATTTCTGTTTACCAGCTAAAGCCTTGTAGCAATAATAGGAACTCAGTTAATTCTTGGTGCTGCCAGCTCTGGGATTATGTGATTCTTAGTTTTTAAAAAGTTTGTTTGAAAAATTCATGTTTCAAAACAATAGGTATTGTGAAACTTTGTCAATGTTTTACTTTACACAGCTTTGCTTATGTGATTATAATTTGCATAACATTAAAAATCATTGAACAAGTGCTCTTCATCTAACCTCTTCCTCAAAAAGCACTGTCTTTGATTCAATGGTTGAGTCTATTAATAGATACATGATCACCAACTTCTATATTTAGTTTATATAATGGGGCCAAAACAACTAAGTAAACCCATAAGATACTAATTTTTAGGCAG